GCCTCCCAAAGTGCTGGGATTACAGGTGTGAGCCACTGTGCCCCGCCTACTTTTAGCTCTTTAAAGAATCTCCACATGGTTTTCCATAGTGGCTGTACTAGTTACATTCCCACCAGCAGCGTAGAAGTGTTCCCTGATCATGGCATCCATGCCAACATCTACTGTTTTTTGATTATGGCCATTCTTGCAGGAGTAAAGTGGTATCACATTGTGGTTTTGATTAGCATTTTCCTGATCAGTAATGAGGTGAGCAATTTTTCGTAGGGTTGTTGGTTATTTGTACATCTTCTTTTGAGAATTGTCTATTCATGTCCTTAGCCCACTTTTTGGTGGGATTGTTTTTTTTTTTTTTTTTTTTTTTTTTTTTTTTTGAGACGGAGTTTCACTCTTGTTACCCAGGCTGGAGTGCAATGGCGCGACCTCAGCTCACCGCAACGTCCGCCTCCTGGGTTCAGGCAATTCTCCTGCCTCAGCCTCCTGAGTAGCTGGGATTACAGGCATGCGCCACCAGGCCCAGCTGATTTTTTGTATTTTTAGTAGAGACGGGGTTTCACCATGTTGACCAGGATGGTCTCGATCTCTTGACCTCGTGATCCACCTGCCTCGGCCTCCCAAAGTGCTGGGATTACAGGCTTGAGCCACCGCGCCCGGCCTTGTTTGTTTTTTTCTTTGTGATTTGTTTGAATTCGTTGTAGATTCTGAATATTAGTCCTTTGTCAGATCGTGCCAATGCACTCCAGCCTAGGCGACAGAGCGAGACTGTCTGAAAAAAAAAAAAAGAACTTAAATCTAAGACCCTGAAACTATAAAAATTCGTGAAAATTGTGAAAAATTTCTCCCACTCTGTGGGTTGTCTGTTTACTCTGCTGACTGTTCCTTTTGCTGTGCAAAAGCTCTTTAGTTTAATTAAGTACCAGCTATTTATTTTTGTTTTTATTGCATTTGCTTTTGGGTTCCTGGTCATGAAATCCTTGCCTAAGCCAATGTCTAGAAGGGTTTTTCCAATGTTATTTTCTAGAATTTTTATAGTTTCAGGTCTTATATTTAAGTTTTTTTTTTTCAGAGTCTTGCTTTGTCACCCAGCCTGGAGTACAGTGGTATGATTTTCGCTCACTGCAACCTCTGCCTCCTGGGTTCAAGTGATTCTCCTGCCTCAGCCTCCTGAGTAGCTGAGAATATAGGTGCCCGCCACCACATGCAGCTAATTTTTGTATTTTTAGTAGAGACAGGATTTCACTATGGTGGCCAGGCTGGTCTTGAACTCCTGACCTCAGATAATCCACCCGCCTCAGCCTCCCAAAGTGCTGGGATTATAGGCATAAGCCACCATGCCTGGCCAGGTTTAAATTCTTAATCCATCTTGAGTTGATTTTTGTATAAGGTGAGAGATGAGGATCCAGTTTCATTCTCCTACCTGTAGCTAGCCAATTATCCCAGCACCATTTGTTGAAAAGGGTGTCCTTTCCCTGCTTTATGTTTTTGTTTACTTTGTCCAAGATCGGTTGGTTGTAAGCATTTGGGCAAAACTAATCTCTGATGTTAGAGATGAAGATACTGCCTTATTGGTCTACCATCTGCAGTGGAGCTACCACCAAAATGCAGATTTTCATAAAAACCTTTATGGGGAAAGCCACCGCTCTTGAGGTTGAACCCTTGGATACAACAGGAAATGTAAAAGCCAAGATCTAGGATAAGGAAGGAATTCCTCCTGACTAGTAAAGACTGATCTGTGCTGGCAAGCAACTGGAAGACGGATGTGCTTTGTCTGACTACAACATTCAAAAGGAGTCCACTCTTCTCACATTGAGAATTTGTGGTGATCCTAAGAAAAGAAGTCTTACACTACTCCCAGAAAGAATAGGCAGGTGCTCTGACTTATGCCTGTAATCCAGCACTTTGGGAGGCCGAGGCAGGTGGATCAATTGAGGCCAGGGGTTCAAGACCAGCTTGCCAACATGGTGAAACCCTATCACTACTAAAACTACAAAAACCAGCTCAGTGTGGTGGTACATGCCTGTAATCCCAGCTTCTCAGGTGGCTGAGGCAGGAGAATCACTTGAACCCAGGAGGTGGAGATTGCAGTGAGTCAAGATCATGCCACTGCACTCCAGCCTGGGCAACAGAGCAAGACCTTATCTCAAAAGAAATAAAAAGCATAAGAGAAAGAAGGTGACTCTGGCTGCCCTGAAATACCATAAGGTGGATGAGAATAGCAAAAGTAGTCATATTCATCAGGAGTGCCCTTCAGATGAATGTGGCGCTGGAGTGTTTATGGCCAGCCACTCAGGCAGACATTATTGTGCCAAATGTCTGACTTACTGTTTCAACAAACTAGATGACAAGTAAAAGAAATGAAGATAGGCTGAGCATGGTGGCTCACACTTGTAGTCCTGTTGCCAGGTTTTAGGGTGCAGGGGAACGCTCAACTCTCCTGAGAGTTTTTCCAGGCTCTTTGTCTCTCACTCACCCAAGAATGGGAGAGGGGACCACGCCAGGCGCGGTACACTTGCAAAGTAAATACTGGACCCCGAAAAGTTTTTGCAGAAAGTGATTTATTTAGGCAGAGAAAGAGAAAAAGGAGAGAGAAAAGGATAAAAGAGAAAAAGGCTTCCATGAAGAGTGTGTAAGGGGACCCAAGTATGGAATCCAAAGGGATGTGGAAGAAGGGGACTTTTAACCTGGGAGGAATTCGCTCCCTCTCCAAGTCCCCTGGCCAATGAAAGGAATTCCTTTAAACTTCTGCTGGAGTGATTTACTTTTGATTCTTTCCCGTGCCCACAAATATTAAAACAGAAACCGTTAAATCTGCTGGATGGAGAGGCATGGGAGGGGTACATGGCGCTGGGAAGTTCTTGCCCTTAGAACTACACCCTCTTGTGGACCCGGAAAGAGAACACATTCCCTCAATCCCAGCACTTTGGAAGGCCGAGGCGGGTGGATCACTTGAGGTTAGGAGTTCAAGACCAGCCTGCCAACATGGTGAAACCCTATCCTTTACTAAAAACACAAAAATTAGCTGGGCATTGTGGCAGTGCCTGAGTAGCTGGGCATTGTCTTGAGTAGCTGGGCATTGTGGGGTACCCAAGTAGCTGGGCCTCAGGAGGCTGAGGCAGGAGAATCGCTTGAGCCAAGGAGGTGGTGGTTGTAGTGAGCTGAGATCATACCACTGCACCCCAGCCTGACTCTGTCTCAAAAAAAAAAAAAAAAAAAGAAAAAAGAAATGAAGACACTGGTTTACTTGGGAGCATAGTGACTGGAAGAGGGCTTCAGGGTTACTGGTAATGTTCTGTTCCTTTATCTGGATTCTGGCTACCCAAGTGTATTCAATTTGTGAAATTCATTGAGCCATACATTTTGATTCATGTACTTTTCTGTGTTATACCTCAATAAAAAGTTTATTACCAAGGAAGATGTACAAATGGCTAATAGGCACATAAAAATATGCTCAACATCCTTAGTCATTAGGGAAATGCAAATGAAAACTTCAATGAGATACCACTTCATGCTCACAAGGATGGTTATAATTTTTTTTTAAATGGAAAATAGCAAGAGTTGGCAATATGTATAGAAGCTAGAATCCTCATACATTGCTGATGGGAATGTAAAATAGTGCAGCTGCTGTGAAAAATAATTTGGTGGTCCTTCAAAAAGTTAAACATAGAATTACTATATGACCCAGCAATTCCACCCCTAGGTAGGTATCCCAAAGAACAAAAAACAGGTGTTCAAACAAATACTTGTACATGAAATGTTCACCAAAGCACTATTCACAATAACCAAAAGGTAGAAATAACCCAAATGTCCATTAACTGAAGAATGGATAAACAAAATGTAGCATATCAATACAGTAAAATATTATTCATCCATAAAAAACAATAAGGTACTGGCTGGGTGCAGTGGCTCAGGGCTGTAATTCCAGCACTTTGAGAGGCCAAGGCAGGCAGATCACCTAAGGTCAGGAGTTCAAGACCATCCTGGCCAACATGGTGAAAACCCATCTCTATTGAAAATACAAAAATTAGCCAGGCATGATTACATGTGCCTGTACTTCCAACTACTCAGGAGGCTGAGGTAGGAGGATTGCTTGAACCCAGGAGGTCGAGGCTGCAGTGAGCTGTGATCGTGCTGCTGCACTACAGCCTGGGAGATAGAGTAAGACCCTATCTAAAAAAGAAGAAGGAGAAGGAGCAAGGAAGAGGGAAGAAGGAGAAGAGCTGACGTGGCTTCATCTAAGGAGGTAGAGACACACATGGAGAAAAGTGGGCAGATTCCAGATGTGTTGTGGAGTTGACAGGACTTGCTGGATTGAACACAGGATGGGAAAGGAAGAGATGAATTAAGAATGATGCCTAGATTTTTAGCTTTGAACAGCTAGGGAGATGATGTTCTGTTACCCCATGTTGGGCACCCTAAATCCTGGAACACAGGGGCTTCCTTCAAGGCTGAGGAGGAATCTTGGTATTTCTGAGTGAGAAACAGGGTCGGATTACCCTGTCTTTCCTTCTGGAAATAGCTCCCCACCCCAACCCCAGCCAGTTTCCACCTTCAGGTATTTTTTAATGATTTTTAATGGGAGACTCAAAGTTAATGCTGACCCCCATTTAGCACTCCCTTGTCCATTCTCAGCTCTCTGATTCTGATTCTGATACTAGCTCTGCCCATGGTGTGGCTCTGCCCAGGGCCTCCTTCCTCTGTACCTGTCAGGCTCGACAGGCTCGCCTTCAAACGACTATCCCCTTTTCCTCCCTGAAGGCTGAGCAGCCTCTCTACAAACCCCTATTTCTTGTTGGGCCTGGTCTGTTCTGTCCAGACTGTGGCAGCTGCAGGCTATCCAGTCCTGCTGGGCTTCTCTCCCTCCACACACACTAAAGGCCTTTTGTGCTACCCTAAGACTTTCACAAAGGTTTATCAGGAATATCCTCCACCCAACCTCAGGACTTGGTATTCCCAGACAGCTTCTCTAACCTTACGTGAGCCTCACCTGGTATCTCCCTTTACAGGAGACCCCCTTCCCACAGAAAGCCGGCTAATGAACAGCTGTCTGCAAGCCAGGAGGAAGTGCCAGGCTGATCCCACTTGCAGTGCTGCCTACCACCACCTGGATTCCTGCACCTCTAACGTAAGCACCCCACTGCCCTCAGGGGAGCCTTCAGTCCCAGAAGACTGCCTGGAGGCAGCACAGCAACTCAGGAACAGCTCTCTGATAGGCTGCATGTGCCACCGGCGCATGAAGAACCAGGTTGCCTGCTTGGACATCTATTGGACTGTTCACCGTGCCCGCAGCCTTGGTGAGGCCCCCATCATGGAGTGGACTGAGGTGGGGAAGGTGGCTCTTGGGGGTTGTTTTTTAATCCTGCAGGATATGGGCCACATGGTAGATACTGATGGGAGGATAACGAAGCTCTGCATTTGACATCAGGGAAGGTGGAGGGATAATGCCGGGATCCCCTTGAATCCCCATAACACTGCCCTCTCTTCTCCCTACTTCCCCCTTTCTTATCTGGCAACATGTCAGCTCCCACTTGGCAGCGCTGTAAACCAGACTGAGGCCCAACTTGGGGAGTTCCTGGAACAGAAGGTATAGACAGGAGATGGGAGAAAAGAGTCTTAACCCATAAATAGGCTCCAAATACCAAGTTCAGGGAGATGGAGAGGTAACATCTTGGTTCAGCCTTTAACAGAAAGAATACTCATTAACCAGCCAGGAGATGTAAGAGAGAGAGAAGGTGCAGAAAGAACCAAAGAGGAGCTGCCTGTCACTCTTTCCATAGGCCCCTCTCTTTATTAGTCAGCTTTTACTTGGCTATGTTGCCTTAGCAAAACAGCTACTTGCAAAACAAAGGTTTAATTCTTGCTCATGTTCCTTTTTTTTTTTTTTTTTGAGACGGAGTCTTACTCTGTTGCCCAGGCTGGAGTGCAGTGGCTCGATCTTGGCTCACTGCAACCTCTGCCTCCTGGATTCAAGCAATTCTCCTGCTTCAGCCTTCCGAGCAGGTGGGACTACAGGCACGTGCCACCACGCATGGCTAATTTTTTTTATTTTTTAGTAGAGGGGGTTTCACCATTTTGGACAGGCTGGTCTCGAACTTCTGACCTCGTGATCTGCCCACCTCGCCCTCCCTAAGTGTTGGGGTTACAGGCGTGAGCCACTGAGCCTGGCCCAATTCTTGCTTATGCTCTCTATTGGCTCTTTCACGCATCTTCTTCATTCTTTGTCTGGGATGTTCCCTTCTCATGGCAGAAGGAAATGAGCATTGGCAGAACCATGTGATGGTTTTAAAAGTTTCTGCTCAGATCTTATCTATACTATGTATGCTTACATTCCATTGAGAGAGCAAGTCACATGGCCAAGCCTGACATCGCTGGATTGGAAAAGTATACTTCTCCCACAGGGAGATACCAAAAATCAAATGGCAATAGGTGAGGATATACAATCTTTTTTTTTTTTTTTTTTTTTTTTTTTAAAGATGAGGTTTTACCATGTTGGTCAGGCTGGTCTTGAACTCCCGACCTCAGGTGATCTGCCCGCCTTGGCCTCCAAAGTGCTTGGATTACAGGTGTGAGCCACCACGCCCAGCTGAGGATATACAATCTTACAGGGAAGGCAAAGAATGATTGGAAACAATAACACAATCTACCATTGTCAAAGTATTCATTTCTCTCCCTTCTACAAGTAAAATACACCCACCTATTTTCCATGATGCCTTAAAAGTTCTGTTCAAACATGACATCAGGCTTCAAGTCTAGGATCTCATGATAGTTTCCAATTGGGCCTGGATGTGGTTCCTCTTGATGTAAAAACTTATGAGCTAAAAAGATAAATCATCTGCTTCCTATATGTACTCAGCATACAATAACGGGACAGGGTCAGGATAACCACAACAAACGTTCTCAGAAAGGGGAGGGATGGACATCTAGGTGCAGTGGCACATACCTATAACTTCAGCACCCTGGGAGGCCAAGGCAGGAGTATCCCTAAAGCCCAGGAGTTCAAGACCAGCCTGGACAACATAGCAAGCCCCCATCGCTACAAAAAAATAAATGTATTAGTTAGATGTGGTGGTGCACACCTGTGATCCCAGCTACTCAGGAGGCTGAGGTGGGAGGATTGCTTGAGCCCAGGAGATTGAGGCTGCAGTGACCCATGATCACACCACTGTGCTCCAGCCTAGGTGACATAGTGAGACCCTGTCTCAAATAAATAAATGAATGAATGAATGGGAGAGATACAGCAAACATTGATCCATAGCAATTCTGAAATCCCACTAGACAAATGTTGTAAGGGCCCTCTTTCCTGGGAATAAGGATTGTTCTTTAATAAGGCCCTATTTTTGCTCTACGGGAGTAGTTGGTCTATCTACTGTTCTCCACAGCTCTTGGCCCAACCCCCTGGAAGATCCTTCCTCTTTCATTTTCCTCTTTGACCACATTTGAAAAGGGCATCAGGGACTACAATCTCCCTGGGAGCTGAACCGCATTCTCAGCCTGCTTCCTGCTCGAGAAATGTTGGGGCATTTTAAGTCTCAAATAGTCACAGTCTCTTTTAATCTATGCTGGTAGCTCTTTGTAGTACGACTCTCTGAAAACATAATTGCTGCTTATATCTTTGATTTCTATCATCTCATGTGCCTATGGCCTTTCCCACAATTCAAGACATGCCTCTTTTTCTACACCTAAATTAGAAGCACCTTGCCCTTATCAGGCTTCTGTGGAAGAGCCACTACTTTAGTCTTTTTTTCCCTGAGTACATTTGTCCAACTGGCAGGACTTATTGGGTACCATCTTAATCAACTGAGAGATCTCCACAAACAGTATGATAGCCACATACCTCATTTGGTCTTTTCCCCAAGGCTGAGTTGTAATCAACCTTATCACTCAAAACTTTTTTTTATGTTTTATCTTTTACCTTATGAATATGAGAAACAATTGCATTTCTTAATCCTGCAAGTCCTGAAATTTCTACATTATCTTTTCCTCCACACTTGGTAACTGGCCAATTCTTTTCTGAGCTTATCTCTTTCTTTCTTTCTTTTTTTTTTTTTTTTAGGAGGTTGAGACGGAGTTTCACTCATGTTACCCAGGCTGGAGTGCAATGGCGCAATCTCGGCTCACCGCAACCTCCGCCTCCTGGGCTCAGGCAATTCTCCTGTCTCAGCCTCCTGAGTAGCTGGGATTACAGGCACGCACCACCATGCCCAGCTAATTTTTTGTATTTTTAGTAGAGATGGGGTTTCACCATGTTGACCAGGATGGTCTCGATCTCTTGACCTCGTGATCCACCCGCCTCGGCCTCCCACAGTGCTGGGATTACAGGCTTGAGCCACCGCGCCCGGCCGTGAGCTTATCTCTTTCTTATAGTATCTTGCCAAATGCAGCCAATAGCAATCAAGACAAACCAGTAACCTTCTGCTTCTCAGCTTCCCCTAACAGTATAAGCTCATTCAACATATAATCTTCTCAGTTATTGTAGGCAACAATTTTACCAAATGCTTTGCCACTGCATAATGAAGACTGCCATCTTTTAAGCCCCCTGTAACAGCTTCTTTATCACCCGCTGCCCAGTGCCAACGCCCATGATACACATTATATTATTTTATTACTGTAGCACTCCACTTCTAGGTACCAATTGCATTTTATTTTTACTTTTTTTAATTGGAATCTCACTTGTCACCCAGGCTGGAGTACAGTGGCACAATCATAGCTCACTGCAGCCTCAGCCTTCTGAGCTCAAGTAATCCTCCCACCTCAGCTTCTGAGTAGCTGGGACTACAGATGTGTGCCACCACACCCAGCTAATTTAAAAATTTTTTTTAGAGATGAAGTCCCATTGTGTTGCCTAGGTTGGTCTCAAGCTCCTGGGCTCAAGGAATATTGCTGCCTCAGCCTCCCAAAGTACTGAGATTACAGGTGGTGTGAGCCACCATGCCCAGCCCCAGTCGCATTTTTTTTTTTTTTTTTTGAGACAGAGTCTCATTCTGTCATCCAGGCTGGAGTGGCATAGTCTCGGCTCACTGCAGCCTCCACCTCCTGGGTTCAAGGGATTCTCCCACCTTGGCCTCCTGGGTAGCTGAGATTACAGGCATGCACCACCACACCCAGCTAATTTTTGTATTTTTAGTAGAGACGGGATTTCACCATGTTGACCAGGCTAGTCTCAAACTCCTGACCTCAGGTGATCTGCCCGCCTCAGCCTCCCAAAGTGCTAGGATTATAAGCACGAGCCACCACGCCTGGCCCCCCATTGCGCTTATAATAAGAATTTGCTAGGTTGTGCTTTGTAACATCCAATTTCCAAATCTCTGGCTTTCAACAACAAAAAATGTATTTCTTGCTCATGTTACACATCTGCTGCAGGATCTATGGGTTGGCTTTGTCTCTGTTCTACTTGTCTTCTTCACCGGAAGATCCAGGCTTGTAGAGGAGAAAGAGTAGCAGCAGAACCATTTGAGGATTCTTAAAGCTTCTGCTCAGATGTGATTTACATCACTTCAGCTCACAATCCACAGGCCAGAACAAGTCACATGGCCAAGCCTGCCATCAGTGGGGTGAGGAAGTGTATGCCTCTCACAGGGGGTGTGAAAGTTACATGGCAACAGGTGGGGAAGAATACTCCTCCCATGGGGCGGGAAGCAAATAATTGGAAACAATAATACAGTTTACCACACTCCTTGTTCTCTGTTTTCTGCTTCTCATCCTAATCACTTTTCTTTCAGAACTTCCTCTGTGGCTTCTCCATGATTCCTCTTGCCTCCCCACACTGTGCGCCGAGCCCCATGGTATAAGTACAATGGTGCTCAGCATATTTGTCTACCTCGCTTATACCATGGTGCTCGACACACAGTGTGCTCAACAAATGGTAGCTGTTATTATTATTATAGTTCATTGGTGGAGCCCAGCCTATACATTATGACGCCACATTTTTCTTGTCTCTGCACAGCTTGCAGCTGGTTAGGAAGAGGCTGTGCTTTTCCTTTTCTCCACAGGGCTTTAAGGTCTGAGCCAGCAGCTTCAGCCCCTCCAGCCTACCCCACCTGGTCCTCAGCATTCTGGTGCTCCCCACCTTGTCTCTAGGTAACTATCAGCTGGATGTCTCTCCTTATGAAGACACAGTGACCAGCAAACCCTGGAAAATGAATCTCAGCAAACTGAACATGCTCAAACCAGGTCTGTAGGGCAACTAGACTTGGGAACAGGAGGCTGCGGTGGGACTCTGAAGGAAGAGTGGCTGGGGAGGGACACAAGTTGGGGGGCTTATAAGGGGAAAGCTTCTAGCCTACCAGGTGACTAAGGAAGACTGTGTCAGGCTGAAAATGTGAGCCATGGGGCGTGGCCTGGTCTCATAGGAGTCATCAAAGGACAGCAGTTATTAGGGAGGCATTTGAAGAGAGCCCATTAGGGCTCCCTGTTTCCACAAGGTGGGCCCCTACAAAGGGTGTGGTGGGAGTGGCATCAGCCCCAAGAAAAAATGTCCTGAAATGGAGTATTTACTTGCATTCAAGGCAGCTAGGAAAGTAGTCTCTTTGTCCCTGAAGACTAGGAAATTGCTTGTTTTCAACCATTCTAATGGGATGGGCGAGGTATTGGGCAGGAAAAAGAGAGTGACTCTGCATAGGGTGACTCAGGGTGGGGAGCCATCAGTCTGGCAAGAACTGTGATGGATGTTTTTCAGGAAAGTGAGGCTGTGAGTTAATTGAGGAAAAACATACACACATGCACTCTCTTTTTGAGAAAGATGTGAGCTTTGCTGTATAGTCAGTATTTTATCATTTGAATTAGAATTTTGAGAAAAAGGCATAGGGATTCATGCATGAAACACTCTTAGTGACAAGATCAGCAAATAACCTGTTACAGTTACTTGATTACTGTGGCTGTTGGAATATTCTGTTAATAGGAATATCACCATAATTTCCCAAGATTCAGAATATGGGGAACAGAGTATGTTGTTCATAAATAAAAGATGGGCAGGTGACATTAAAATGGGTCCGGATAGGTGCAGGCCAAGCCAAATCCAAACCAGAAACCTAAAATAGAGTTTAGTTGCCTCTGTTTTGGCCAGTTCTAAAAGTGCTTTAGAATGTTTGGGCGGAGATGGAGGAGAAAAAACAAAAAAATAGAATGTCTCAGGTACTCTAGGTTATGATTTCTACCATTAGATCTCACTGCATAGCATTGAGGAAAGAGCTATGGTTATTTGAGCTTTCTGGCTGCTTGAATTCTAGGTAAATGGGTTCGATGCATATAGATGATCATGATGATTATTATTATTTTACCTAGTCAAGATAAGGAGTAGGATAGGGAAGGCTTCAGACAGAGGAGAGGGGAAGCCCTGGATTAGGAGTGACTATATTCAGGAAGGGCCTTCTTTTCCTCCTGGATCCACTACCTTCCTTGTCGAATCAGGGGTTTTCTCGGGTTCTTATGAAGCCTGGGCTGCAGGCATCAGAGGGCCCAGCCGAGTGACTTCATGCCCTTTCCCCCTGCCACCCCGCAGACTCAGACCTCTGCCTCAAGTTCGCCATGCTGTGTACTCTCAATGACAAGTGTGACCGATTGCGCAAGGCCTACGGCGAGGCGTGCTCTGGGCCCCGCTGCCAGCGCCACGTCTGCCTCAAGCAGCTGCTCACCTTCTTCGAGAAGGCCGCCGAGCCCCACGCGCAGGGCCTGCTGCTGTGCCCCTGTGCCCCCACCGACCGGGGCTGTGGGGAGCGCCGGCGCAACACCATCGCCCCCAGCTGCGCGCTGCCACCGGCGGCCCCCAACTGTCTGGAGCTGCGGCGCCTCTGCTTCTCCGACCCGCTGTGCAGGTGTGGGGTTTGGCAGGGCAGGGTGGGCAGGGATGTGGCACACGCCCCTCCTTCCTGGCCATGTCCCTGTGCTGAGCAGGATCTTGACCTCCCAGGGAACGGTGGGACCCACTGGCTGCTTCACCAAGTAGCTACCTTGGATATTTTGTGAAACTCTTTTCTCAAAAAGAATATATATTTTTTTCTTTGCTGTAAAACCTCAGGAAATATAAAAATGTATTTTAGAAAATTATTCAAAATGCTGTCACCTGAAAATAATCTACTGTACTTTGGGGAGCACTTCCTTTCAGTCATTTTTCTATCCCGATAACAAAAGTAGACATTCTGGGAACATATGTGTATCTTGCTTTTTTTCTCTTATAGCACAAATCTCATAAGCATTTTTCTGTGGAGGAGTGTGGTAAGACGCAGTGGCTTATGCCTGGAATCCCAGCTCTTTGGTAGGCAGAGGTGGGTGGATCATTTGAGGTCAGGAGATCCAGACCAACCTGGCCAACGTGGTGAAACCCCGCCTCTACTTAAAACACAAAAATTAGCCGGGCTTGGTGGCGAGTGCCTGTAGTCCCAGCTACTCGGGAGGCTGAGGCAGGGGAATCTCTTGAACCTGGGAGCTGGAGGTTGCAGTGAGCCTAGATTGCACCACTGCACTCCAGCAGCTGGGTGACAGAGCGAGACTCCAGTCTAAAAAAAAAAAAGACAGTCTCTGAAGTCAGACAGATGTGAATTTAAATTCTGGGTCTTTGTCATCTTGAGCACATCACTTAACCTAAGGTTCCATTTAGTACCCTGTAAATACTGGGATAATAATGAAGACCTCATGGGACTCTGGTGAGAGTTAAATTACACAATTTACATAGAGTGGTGTGGAGTACTGGTGTAGAGTAAGTACTCAATAAATGGTATTGCTTATTTTTTCACTTACTTTCCTAAAAGAACTTTTTCTTTTTGAGACAGACACTCTCTGTTGCCCAGGCTGGAGTGCAGTGGTCCATTCTCGGCTCATTGCAGCCTCTGTTTCCCGGGTTCAAGCGATTCTCCTGCCTCAGCCTCCTGAGTAGCTGGGACCATAGGCACGTGCCACCAGGTCTGACTAACTTTTGTATTTTTAGTAGAGGTGGGGTTTCACTATGTTGGCCAGGCTGGTGTCCAACTCCTGACTTTGTGATCCTCCTGCCTCAGCCTCCCAAACTGGTGGGATTACAGGTGTGAGCTAGCACACCTGGCCAAGAACTTGATTTTTAAATGCCTGAATTATATTCCATTCAGGTGTGGATATGGATGTTCCCTCAGGTATGGATACCCCACATTTTATTTAACAATTCCTCAATCGCTGGATATTTAGGGGTTTTTTTGTTTTTTATTTTTTTGAGACAGAGTCTTGCTCTGCTGCCCAGGCTGGGGTGCAGTGGTATCATCTTGGCTCACTGCAGCCCCTGCCTCCTGGGTTCAAGGGATTCTCCTGCCTCAGCCTCCCAAGTAACTAGGATTACAGGCGCCCACCATGTCCAGCTAATTTTTTTTTTGTATTTTTAGTAGAGATGGGGTTTTGCTGTGTTGGCCAGGCTGGTCTTGAACTCCTGGCCTCAAGTGATCCACCCACCTCAGCCTCCCAAAGTGCTGGGATTACAGGCGTGAGCCACTGCGCCCAGCCAGGTTGGTTTTTCTTTTTCTTTCTTTCTTTTTTTTTGAGACAGAATCTTGCTCTGTCACCTAGGCTGATGGGCAATATCAGCTCACTGCAACCTCCATCTACTGGGTTCAAGCCATTCTCCTGCCTCAGCCTCCTGAGTAGCTGGGACTATAAGTGCATGCCACAATGCCTGGCTAATTTTTATGTTTTTAGTAGAGATGGGGTTTTGCCATGTTGGCCAGGCCAGTGTTGAACTCCTGAGCACAAGTGATCAGCCCACTTTGGCCTCCCAAAGTGCTAGGATTATAGGCATGAGATGCCATGCTTGGTCAACTCTTATTCTTTTTTTTTTTTGAGACAGAGTCTCACTCTGTCAGCAGGCTGGAGTGCAGTGACACAATCTCAGTTCAGTGCAACATTTGTCTCCCAGGTTCAAGTGATTCTCCTGCCTCAGCCTCCCGAGTAGCTGAGACTACAGGTGTGCACCTGTGTGGTGACACTTGGCTAATTTTTTTTTGTATTTTTAGTAGAGATGGGGTTTCACTATGTTGGCCACGATGTCGCGATCTCTTGATTTCGTGATCTGCCCACCTTGACCTCCCAAAGTGCTGTGATTACAGGCCTGAGCCACCATGCCTGGCCTCTTATTCTTTAATCTTTGTCCACAAACATAATTACTACTTACATATACTGCTACTAGTGCTGTTGCCAGATCAAAGGACATGGAAGATTTGTAAGGTATTTGATATATTTGATAAATATTTTCTCCAGGAAATTTGAAATTCTGATCTGGCTTTTCTGTGTCTTCTCAGGACAAAACACTCACAAAATTGAAGTTATCATTCATTCAAGTGACATTTGTTGACAATAACCTTGGTTTGCAACTTCGTTCTCCTACTGAGTTTTTTTGTAACCTTGGGCAAGTTACTTAACCTCTGAGACTACCGCTTTCCTCGTCTGTAAACTATCTCATACTCAGGGCTCTTAATAATCATAATACTGATATTTACTGAGTACTTACTATGGGCTGGATACTGTTTTAAGTACTTAACATGTATTAACTCATCTAAACCTTACAAGATCCCTAATAAGGTAGATTCTTTTCTTTTCCTTCCTTCCTTCCTCCCTCCCTCCCTTCCTTCATTCCTTCTCTTTCTTTCTTTCTCTTTTTTCTCTTTTTCTCTCTCTTTCTTTCCCTCCCTCTCTCCTTTCCTTTCCTTTTTTCCTTCCCTTCCCTCTTTTCTTTCCCTTCCCTTTCCTTTTCCCCTTCCCTTCCCTTTTTCCCTTCCCTTCCCCTCTCTTCTTCCCTTCCCTTCTTCCCTTCTCTTCTTCTCTTCCCTTTTTTCCTTCCCTTCCCTTTTTCCCCTTTTCCCTTCCCTTCTTCCCCTTTTTCCTTCCCTTCTCTTTTTCCCTTCCCTTCCCTTTCTTCTTTCTTGAGATGGAGTCTTGCTGTGTTGCCCAGGGCAGTCTCAAACTCCTGAGCTCAAGTGATTCTCCTACCTCAGCCTCCCAAGTAGCTGGCACTATGGGCATATGCATTCTCTTACTTCATCCTCACAAAAATCCATGAGGTTTTGCTGCTGTCATCTCTATTTGATAGTTGAGGAAACTGAGGTTAAAGAAGCTATCTGAGATCACATAAGTAGGGATTATGGAGCCTGAACTCAGAGTGAAATGGTGTGGGGTCTGAGAAATGGTACATTTGATTGTGACAGGGGCACACTTCACAAAGGAAGAGGCCCTGGGCCAAGGCGGAGGAGGATTTGGCACAACAATGGGCCTGCCAAGCTAAGGGGGTGGTGAGGGAAAAGGCTGCAGGCCGGACCCTCAAGGATGTCTCGTGAAATTTTTCTGGCCAGGTACGGTGGCTCACACCTGTAACACAGCACTTTGGGAGGCTGAGGTGAGTGGATCACCTGAGGTCGGGAGTTTGAGAGTAGCCTGGCCAACATGATGAAATCCCGTCTTTACTAAAAGTACCAAATTAGCTGAGTTTGGTGGCACACGTCTGTAGTCTCAGCTACTTGGGAGGCTGAGGCAGGAGAATCACTTGAACCCAGGAGGTAGAGGTTGCATTGCGCTGAGATTGAGCTTTTCCACTCCAGCTTGGGCGAAAGACAGCAAGACTCCATCTCAAAAAAAAAAAAAAATAAAGTAGAAATTTCCCTTCTTCCAGATCACGCCTGGTGGATTTCCAGACTCACTGCCATCCCATGGACATCCTAGGAACTTGTGCAACAGAACAGTCCAGATGTCTCCGTGCATACCTGGGGCTGATTGGTGAGGCTGGGGCCATGTGTAGGGAGCCCCGTGTTGGCTAGGCCTGAGGACAAGAATGCTCTGAAGATAAAGGATGTGATCCTGAGATGGGTGGAAGAAGGTGGGAGCTACAGTTCGGGTTAGCCTAGGCCCTGACTACCCTTTTCCTCTTCACTCCACAGGGACTGCCATGACCCCCAACTTTGTCAGCAATGTCAACACCAGTGTTGCCTTAAGCTGCACCTGCCGAGGCAGTGGCAACCTGCAGGAGGAGTGTGAACAGCTGGAAGGGTTCTTCTCCCACAATCCCTGCCTCAGTGAGTATGCTGAACATGCTCTCAGGCCCCGGGGTTGAGTCAGCTGGACTCAAGGGAAGAAAAAGGGTCAACTCTGGCCCAGGCTGGTTCCATCCATCTCCACCAGACAGAGCAGCTCCCAGCATAGGCATTCATCTCTGTAGCCTGGGCCTTTCTTCTGTCTCCCACTCTGTGAGAAACCCCCAATGCTGCTTGTTCAACCTGTCTGGAACCCAGGAACATCTCCAGATCAAGAAACAAGCAAGCAGAATGAGAGAGTATCCCACTTCCACCTCCCTCCTACTTTCTCCCCTATAGGCCAGGGTCCCTGTGGCATTCCCTTTGCTCCCTTGGGAGCCTGAGAAATCTCCTGCTCCCATGCCCTTCCAATGAGCCTTCTCTTCTCTCTTCAGCAGAGGCAATTGCAGCTAAGATGCGTTTTCACAGCCAACTCTTCTCTCAGGACTGGACAGACTCTACCTTTGCTGTGGGGGCACACCAGGTAGGGCCTCCTCTGTTACACCCCTCAGACCTTTTTTTTTTTTTTTTGTTTTTGAGTTGGAGTCTTGCTCTGTTGCCAGGCTGGAGTGCAGTGGTAAGATCTCCGCTCACTGCAACCTCTGTCTCCCAGGTTCAGGCAATTCCCCTGCCTCAGCCTCCCGAGTAGCTGGGACTACAGGTGCATGCCATTACACCTGGCTAATTTTTTGTATTTCAGTAGAGATGGGGTTTCACCATGACCAAATGGTCTCGATCTCCTGACCTCGTGATCCTCCCTCCTCGGCCTCCCAAAGTGCTGGGATTAGAGGCATGAGCCACCACACCCAGCCACACCCCTCAGACCTTTACTGGGCCAACTGGGGAAAACCCAAACCAGGCAGACAAAGGGATGGGGACGGGGGACTGATCTCCTCGTTGCCATGAACACTAGAGACTTCTTACGGGTACCTCAGGAGACAGGGAGTACCTCTTGACTGAGGCAGAAGGAAGTGAAGGGGCTAAATAAGATCCCCTGAGCTAATTCTATTCCATTTCTTCCACAGAATAAAAACCCTGCTCTGAGGCCACAGTCCTGGATGCCCTCTCTTTTCTCCTGCACGCTTCCCTTGATTCTGCTCCTGAGGTTATGGTAGCTGGACATCCCCAGGGCCTTCTTCCCCTCCACCACACCCAGATGGACTTGCAGCCCACAGGGGTGAGGAAACGACAGCAGCAGGAAGGAGGTGTAGTGCACAGATGAGGGTACAGGAGAAGCTACGGGTTATGACCTCCAGATCCTTACTGGCCCGGGTCCTCATTCCCTCCACCCATCTCCACTTCTGATTCATGCTGCCCTTCCTTGGTGACCACAGTTTAGCCAATCTTCTGGTGGTGACCAGCTCCACCAAGTCCCTTTCTGAGCCCTTCCCCGTGACTACCAGGATCACCAGAATCCAATAAGTTAGCCATTCTCTATTGCATTCCAGGTTAGGGTTAGGCAGGACTGGGTGTTCTGAGGCAGCCTAGAAAGGCATTCTCCACTGTGAGAAAGGCTGGAGCAAGACTTCTGCCCCTTCTTCTCCTCCTCTGAGTGGAGGATGGGAACCTGCTGCCTGCACTGCCGTGTCCCCAGATCCTGCAGAACATCCGGGCATCAGGAACTGGAGCCTATGGGCCTTGCTTTATTCCTATTATTGTCCTAAAGTCCCTCTGGCCTCTTGGATCATGATTAAACCTTTGACTTCAGACTTTGCTCTTTTTCCATTTTCTCAAATTTTGAATTTCTATAGAACTACGGTGTTACAGACAAAAAGCACAGGCCAGGTGATAAGGAGATACGGCAATGCTACCACCAACAGCTATATGACTTCAGGCATGTCTCTTAGCCTCTTTGTGTTCTTGATATGGAGTTGGAAGAAAAAGTAGCTTATGTGAGACCGTGGACCTAGGATTTGTCCCAGCTCCAGCCGTTTGTCAGATATTGCCTGGGATCTGCCACAGCAGCTGAGATGGTGACTTTTAGTCAACCACACCATTTACTGAACACGGGCTTGGGTTATTGGGCTGCTCTAGATCATAATGGGGGCCAGAGGAAAAGAGAGATTGGTTCTTTTTTTTTTTTTCTTTTGAGATGGAGTCTCGATCTGTTGCCCAGTCTGGAGTTCAGTGGTGCAATCTCAGCTCACTGCAACCTCTGCCTCCTGGGTTCAAGCAATTCTCCTGCCTCAGCCTCCTGAGTAGCTGGGATTACAGGCATATACCATCAAACCTGGCTAATTTGTATATTTTTAGTAGAGATGGGGTTACAGGTGCCTACCACCACGCCTGGCTAATTTTTGCATTTTTTAGTGAAGACAGGGCTTCAGTTTCACCATGTTGGCCAGGCTGGTCTTGAACTCCTGACTTCAGGTAATCTGTCCGCCTCAGCCTCCCAAAGTGCTGGGATTACAGGCATAAACTACCACACCTGGTGCAGAGGTTGTTCTTTTTTTTTTCTTTCAGATGGAGTCTTGCTTTGTCGCCCAGGCTGGAGTGCAGTGGTGCGATCTCGGCTCACTACAACCTCTGCCTCCTGGGTTCAAGCGATCCTCCTGCCCCAGCCTCCCAAGTGGCTGGGATTACAGGCATGCGCCACCACGCTCAGCTATCTTTTGTATTTTTTTTTCTTTTTGCACCCATCTACCGTAGCAGACATGTTTGTGAGGCTGGTCTTGAACTCCTGAACTCATGATCCGGCCACCTGGGCCTCCCAAAGTGCTGGGATTACAGGCATGAGCCACCGCGCCTGGCCTGACTTTTTAATTTTTAGTAGAGATGGGGTTTCACCATGTTGGTCAGGCTGGTCTCGAACCCTTGACCTCGTGATCTGACCACCTTGGCCTCCCAAAGTGTTAGGATTACAGGCATGAGCCACTGCACCTGGCCCAAGATTGTTCTTGACCTCAGGGAATTTGTGATCCTATTGGGATAAGGACACACTCACCCATGCAAAGTGTAATAGTTGGAAGAATCTATTTATAGAGCTCTGGACATTTGTCTATTAATTTATTCACTCAATAAGCATCTGATGAGTGCTGACTCTGAAGACACTATTTTGTATGCAAGAGATTCCGAAGTAAAATGACCCTCAGATCCTATTTTCAAACCTTTAACACCAGAGCAGGGAGGCAGACAACAGTCCATAAGAGCAGCGCAGTGTGACAAGTGATATATTATTATGATAATCCTTTTTTTTTTTTTGAGACAGAACTCTGTCACCCAGGCTGGAGTATAGTGGCATCATCTTGGCTCACTTCAGCCTCTGTCTCCTAGGTTCAAGCAATTCTCCTGCCTCAGCCTCCCAAGTAGCTGGGATTACAGGCTCATGCCACCACAGCAGGCTAATTTTTTGTTTTTAGTGGAGACAGGGTTTCATCATGTTGGCCAGGCTGGTCTCAAACTCCTGACCTCAGGGTGATTCACCCACCTCAGTCTCCCCAAAGTGCTGGGATTGCAGGTATGAGCTGCTGCACCCAGCCCTAATTATGATAATCCTCATTTATGGAGTCCCTACTGTGTGCCAAGTACTACTGTGCACTAACTGTGTGCAAATACATGCATTAATTCATTTAATCCTCCAGCAACGTTTGAGTTTGTTAGTTGTTAGTCACAAGCTATTATGTATGTAACCTTGGGCTTAACCTCACTGGGCCTCACTATCCATATCTGTAACATGAAAAACCATGGCACCCACTTTGTGAGAAGTGAGATAATCCATGTAAAAGCATTGTGGCTAGCACGCAGTGTGTGTGTGTGTGTGTTTTTTTTTTTTAGAGAATTTGGACATTACAGACAATTCTAAAGAAAAAAGCAAAATCTTTAAAATCCCACTCTCAAATGTCCTGACCATTCCCTGCATATCTGTGACCTTGAGAATCTATGGGTATGTGTAATGTTCATAAGTGGGGTCACACACCGGAAAGCAAAGTGCAAGTCACAGACGTCATTCAGCACCCATGAGTAGAGTTGAGCTGTAGCATTCTATTTATCAGCTGCATGACATGAATTTATATGAAAGCATATTCATACATGCACAGTTTATTTAATCAGTTCTGTGTTGATAGGTATTTGATTGTCTTCCCATTCTTTTCTGAGCCAAGTTTAAGGCAGTGAGGGAGGTGACCGTGGGTAGGATGTACACAAAGCTGCCAGAGTGGTGGATGGAATCAGTCTCTTTCTATACATTCTTGTATCCCTGTGGCCTACCCAGCCCCAGGAAATGCTCTCAGCCAGGCTGCCTCCCTGAAAACTCCAGTGGGACACTGAGTTGGCCTTCCTTCTTCCTTCTTCCCCTCCCAGGAAGATCTCTGAGCAGTCAAGGCCTCTCTATTTGCCCTGGCTCCATTAACCTGGGGCTAGGGGTATGAATGGTACAGTCATTTCTTGCTAAGTACATGAATTAGACTAATAGGTCATGTATGCTTTTCTCTGAAGAAGGTCCAAATTTCTGGTAAACAACCAGACAACTCTCCCAGCCCAGGGCCCAGAGCCAAGGTCCTGGATTGGTGTGCAGTGGCTGGACTGAAGCTTTTAATGGTGTCATGGCTGTCTGGGATGGTTAATGTCATTAGACTAGCTTCTGGTCAACAAGGTGGTTAGGGCTTCTGGCAGTAGTGGTAAATGAAGAGGGCTAAATTACAGGTTTCTCCATGATTGGGATGCAGCAGACAATCTCCTAATCAACTATCTCCCAATTCACCCATTCATTCATTCATTCATTCATTCATTCAACAAACTTTTAACAAGCCCTTGCCCTGTACCAGGTCTTGAGTATTTTTAAAGGAGATAAGATCTGGGCCGGTGCGGTGGCTCACGCCTGTAATCCCAACACTTTGGGAGGCTGAGGCGGGTGGATCAGCTGAAGTCTGGAGTTTGAGACCAACCGGTCACCACAGTGAAACCCTGTCTATTGAAAATACAAAAATTAGCTGGGCATGGTGGTGGACGCCTGTAATCCCAGCTATTCAGGAGGCTGAGGCAGGAGAATCACTTGGAGCTGGGAGGCAGAGGTTGCAGTGCAGTGAGCTGAGATCACCCCATTATACTCCAGCCTGGGCAACAGAGTGAGACTCCATCTCAAAAAAGAAAAAAAGAAAACCATCTGTCCCTGTACAGTCATAAGCCATGATTTGAATGAAATTTTTTTTTTTTTTTTTTTTTTTGAGACGAAGTTTCGCTCTTGTTACCCAGGCTGGAGTGCAATGGCGCAATCTTGGCTCACCGCAACCTCCGCCTCCTGGGTTCAGGCAATTCTCCTGCCTCAGCCTCCTGAGTAGCTGGGACTACAGGCACATGCCACCATGCCTAGCTAATGTTTTGTATTTTTAGTAGAGACGGGGTTTCACCGTGTTGCCCAGGATGGTCTCGATCTCTTGACCTCGTGATCCACCCGCCTTGGCCTCCCAAAGTGCTGGGATTACAGGCGTGAGCCACCGCGCCCGGCTGATTTTAATGAATAAGCAGCCCAGACTGGTAACTGGTCCCTAAATTGGGCTGTTAGGATTCTTCAGTTAACCTGGTTGGATTATAACACTCAGCTAATTGACCTCGGGAAATGTTATTCACATTTCTAAGCCACTGTTTCCTCATCTACAGTGGGGATGCCAATAGAATACGTAACAAGTTGCAGTGTTTGTTTTGTTTGTTTTGTTTTTAGTAAAGCAAATTAATTTCAGCCAAAAGGCTAATTGGCAATATCAAATAATGCTTATATCGGAGAGAGAGATCCAAGATGGCTGATCACTAGCAGCTCGGGATTGCAGCTCCCACTGAAAGAGCAGAGAACGAGAGGACGCCACACTTTCAGATCAATTTTTGTTGCTCACACACCAGGAGATTCCCAGCGGAGGAGCCCCACCTGTCGCCAGCGTGACTCTTGAGGCCGGTGAGGCGGTTTTGCCGCTGCCTTGGTGTGGCGGTTCTTGGTGCAGAGTCAGAAAAGCACCATCAATCTTAAAGCCGCTGTTTTGGCCGGAGCAGTGGGTTGCTCAGATTCTAGCGCCGGGAATCAACAAGTTGGACGTCCATTCAGAAACCCAACTATAAAGACGGTAATTATAAAGACCACAGATGGATAAATTTATAACGAAGGGAAGAAAACAGCCTAAAAAGGCTGAGAATACCCAAACTCAGAACGCCTCTCCCTCTACAGGGGATCACAGTTCCTCATCAGAAACAGAACAAGGCCTGATGGAGAAAGACTGTGTTCCATTAGCAGAAGCTGGCTTTAAAAAGTGGATGATAAGAAACTTCTGGGAATTAAAAGAACTTGTTCTAACCCAATGCAAAGAAACTAAGAACTTTGAAAAAAGGTTTGACGAAATGTTAACAAGAATACACAATTTAGAGAGGAATATAAGTGAATTAATGGAGCTGAAAAATACAACACAAGAATTTTGCGAACTATGCACAAGTTTTAACAGCCGAATTGATCAAGTAGAAGAAAAGATATCAGAGGTCGAAGACCAACTTCATGAAATAAAACTAAAAGACAAGATTAGAGAAAAAAAGGATAAAAAAGAACGAGCAAAGTCTCCAAGAAATATGGGACTATGTGAAAAGACCTAATCTACGTTTGATAGGTGTACCTGAATGTGACGAAGAGAATCAATCCAAGCTGGAAAATACGCTTCAGGATATTATTCAGAAAAACTTTCCCAACCTAGCAAGGCAGGACAATATTCAACTCCAGGAAATACAGAGAACACCA